GCTCTCAGCCTCGGAAGGTATATCTTGGTTTTCCACAAATTCCTCTTTGGTSTGACTTCTAGTGAAAAGCAGGTATAACTGTTTTCCATTGATAACATACAGCCAAAAGGCAAAAATCTGTTGCAAGTCTTGAATYGAGTAAACAAACATTTCCATCTTGGTCCTTTAGCTGAAAAGCAGTTTGTTTGATCTATGAAAATGTGTTGTCTATTTTTCATGCAAAAGACATATTTTTGTTATGTTTCTAACGAAATGCAATAAAAACCACCCTTTGAAATATTTCTTCAAAAATATCCTTGAGGAAAGGGTAGAAACTTGTGGTTTATTTTTACCATTGCTTCAAAATGACCTTCTTACATCTGCGGGAAAGACTCTCTGGGGCCTGTTGAACCAAGAAAGCATATTCATTTAGGGCATTGGGTGCCACAGTGATTTTAACCAAGTGTTGGATGSAGTACTGGAAAAAGAAAAAAGAGGGAGTTTGTGTTTTCTTGTTTTGCTTTTTGCAACCTGGCATGAAGAATGAGGTCAGGAGATGCACGCCTGGGAAAGACCCAAAGAGAGACCTGSAAACACGCCAGCCACACTGAGTCATAACACACATGCTTATAAAGTATCTTTGTACCTTACAAAGTCCTGACTTTGCAAATAAAACATCACTGCTGTAAAAGTATTTACATAAAAATTAAAGCAAATAGCATGGAGTGCTGCATGCATTCTTCTTTGTTCCAGCTTTGTTTTACCCTGTGAACTATGACTGCTGTTTGCTTAAGGCAAGGCTGAGCCAGGCTGAAGAATGCTGTGTCTGCAGTGATTGAAGGGAGACATTTGAGTCGTGCCTTTGCTGCTGCTGCTTGAGGAGCACAGCAGCTCTCATGGTTTCAGGCTGACACTTTACCTGCCCGGGAGGTGGTGTGAAGCCTGCCCCTCACTTCTGCTATTTTAAAATTAGAATTTGAGTATAATTTTGGAAAATAGGAAGGCTGTGTGCAGGCCACGTGTGCACAGCAGGCAGCTGGATTGTAGGGAACAAGCACCTAAACTGTAGGTGAATGGTGAAAGGTACAAGTGGTGCGCATTTTTATTTCTTTGCAAATATATATACATTATGTATCCATGTGTATTATATATATCATTGTTGTTATATATTGATTAAACGTTATTCCGTGTTTTAATTGGTGTGCACACACATTAATAGAGATATATTTCATGTATTACATACATTTAGCATATAGCAGAACACACACATGTGTGTGTGTGTGTGTGTATGCGTGTGTACATATTCCCAAATTAACAGGATGTTGTGGTAGCCTATTCATTCATGTAGTGCAACATAAAGTTGTTCTGCAGTCCGTGAGGTAACATCCTGTTCAGGAATGTACTGTGTAGGTAAAGGGAGGTTGTGCTCCTCTTCCCCATCCCCTTAGGCTGAACTTGCTAAACTCTTGCTTGACTGTCTGGTAGCTGAAGTTCAGGTATTAATATACAATGCGGGATTCCCTGAAATGGCATAATAAAGAAACTGGTGGGTTTTTTTTAAAAAATAAGTAATTTAAAGGAAATTACGTAATTGCATTTCTTTATTCTCACGCAGGGTTTCCCCGGTTGTTTGCATCTGCTAGTTTATTCTGAGTTTATAAAATAATCTTATCATCATATTGGGAAGCAGAAATCATTTCAGCTGACCTGCATAGTGAAGATTGTGGGCTTGTGGTGATGAACCTACAGTTTAAGATGTTATTCHGTCCTTTTTTGGGTCTGAGTCAATAATGGACAATCCATTAGTTCCCCATAAGTCGTTTCAATGGCTAATTACTTGCACAGTTGCAGAAATTGTTCTTTAATTCTGTCTTACATTTTTCTGAATCAAGTTCCAGCTGTTGGATKATATTATACTCCTCTCTGCCACCCTTGAGAGCCATCTATTAACAAATCCCTATTCCCTGTGGAAATATTTAAAGGCAGCAATTGAGTCATTCCCTTTGAACTCGGGGGAGAGGGGGTGTGGGGGGGGCGGTGTTGGGGATTAAATTCCTCAAGGCTTTCACTTGACCACATTTCTAAGTAGTTCTTGGTGCGTGTAAGTTTTGCTAAAGGGAGCTAACTCTTGCAGTTGGTGGTGATGTGAGTGCGGAGTGGGCTAGGGTGATGAGGCTGCAGCGATCTGACCCATGTAATGATGGTTAAATGTGTCGGGAGCGGGAGCTGGGCTCAGCTGGGCTCTGAGTCAGCTGCTCTCCGCCCTAAGGCTGCTTTTGTGCTCTGGGGAAGATGGGCTTGGCCACTGCGAAACCTTTGACTGCTCCTGCACATGGAGCCGTGTGAATGCAGGTGCTGGCAGCGGCTTAGCCCTTATTTCGCTGACCTTGGATAGCACACCRTGATGGAGAACCTGAGGACCTTCTTTCAAGCTGAGTTGTGGGGGAGGGAAGCCCACAATAGAGTGCTGCAGCACGACAGCAGCTACAGCCTGGGCACAACTGGGCGGGTGGGAGCTCTGGTGTGGAGAAACTCTCCATGTGCATTTCTGGAGGCAGTGCTGCTGTTTCACAGGGTGGACAGTGTGGTTTGTTTGGAGTTTTGCAGCTCCAGGAATTGAGTGTGGTGTGAAGTTGTTTCAGGGGTGGCTGACAGCGGTGTTTGTTCCTGACTTGTGGGACCCATCTCTTTGCGCTGGTGGCACCGATGCCCATGCAGGCCCCAGGCTGGTGGAAGGCAGAAGCGTGTCCTGCATCATGCTGRGGCCTCTAGCTGGCACTAGGGAGACACCTTGGCTGCCGGAAAATTAGGTGTCAGGTTGCACGCCATCCTTTTTCGAGTCCAACACGTTGTCTGGGGAGAGGGAGATGATTCCAGGCTGTTCAAGGAGGGTGGCCTTGCCTAGAGGCTGCTGGTGTGTGGTGGTGACCACCTTCCCTCYCACAGGAGGGACTGTGGTGACCTCCTTCCCTCCCACAGGAGGGAYTGTAGCCAGCTGGTGCAAGCACGGGTCCTATGGTCGGCACATTCCCATTTAAAGACCAGTCCTGTCAGCAGGTTTCACCCGGTCACTGTTAAAGCAACAAACACTGCCACGTGCTCTCTGCAGTGAGCTGTTGTGACAAGAGTGGGTTTAATTTCTTTTGGGTTATATTTTTTAAAATTAAAAAAAAAAAGCCCTGTTTTTATTGGTAAATGGGGCAGTAAGATCAGGAACCAATGGGTGTTTTTGTACAGCTTCCAATAGGAATACCAGTGAAAGGAGCGAGTAGTGTCCGCAGCCCTGTTTCCATAACATGGACAGGGGCTGAAGGTGCTTAGGACTGTTTCCTCACTGAGCGTGACTCCCTTAAAAAATTACTAAGTAATTCCTGTAAAAACAGAAATGCGTAATGTACCTTTTTGATGGGAATGTAAATGGGAGTGTCCGTGGGCAAGCTTTGTTAAAATCGAGCTGTAGCCCTCTTATGTTTAGTGTTGCTTCTGGTTCGGGCTGCATTGGCAGCAAAGTGGTAAGCTGGAGTTGTTTGTGTAAACCTTTGTTGACAAAATAACTGGATGTACTAGTCCTTTTAAAATGCTTGCCGAGAGATKTTTTTTGTCTTATTTTGGTTGCTGTGGGTGTTGGGTTACAAAGTTTGCTTTCTTGGCCCAGAGGTGCCTGTGCTCTAAAACTCCCTGGGCATAGCTCAGCCTTCTTCAAAGTGTAGTAGATTGTCCCTCGTGCGAAATGCACATCCTGCTGCCAAAATGTTGGCTGCTTTCACTGTACTCGTTGTGTTGCTTTTGTTTTGTTTTGTTTTTTAACCCCTGCCAAATAATTTGTCCTAGATTTTTTTTTTTTTTTTGGGGGGGGGGGGTGATGAGGGGTGGAAACGTTTTTGATCACAATTCAGCAGCTGAATGCCAATACATCACTAGAGGAGCAAAGAAAAAGCCATCACTGGTCACCCTAAACGATACTTATTTTTTTGGAAGTTRGTGGGTCTGTCTTTTCTTTGGCTCRTGAGTGGTCTAAGCTCTCCTGCCTCCTGGTGGGGGGATCGCTTATAGGGCTGGTGGAGTTTCAGTGTAAGGTGACAGTGACAGTACACTGTCTGCCCAGGAATGTTATCTTTTGCTTGGGCAGTGATGTAGCCCCCGGAGAATTCAAGGACAAGAATGCAAATAGAGTGATTTCCAAAGACCCCAAGACAATTATATATGAAAATATGATGACTTACCTGTTTCACTTATGCCTTTATATCAATTTGCTGACTTAATTTATTTGAATGATAAAGGCTTTAGGGAACTACTTTTCCAGGGAATTAATCTTTTAACTAAAGCAAGTACTAAATATGACATAGACTAGTATTCCTTTTGACAAAATAGCATTTGTCTCCTAAAAATAAAGTAGAAAACATATGCCCCATGAGCCAAATTCCACTTGGCTTCACRCTGAGATAAATTCAGAATAACTTCATTTTATCAATGTACAACTTCATTGTAACATTGCAATAARTACAAATCACTAAACCAGAAAGAAAAATAACCTGAGCCAAGAGGCACAAAGGCTAAAATGGCAGCAAGAGAAGTTKGTTCACAAAACTTGCTTCTTCGGTTTCTGCTACAGGCATTTTAGCTGTTTTGTTGGGKTTYTTTTCCCTCCTCTTAATTATCTGGGAGAACACTTCCTAGCTGTGATAAATTTTCCGTGAGGGCTTCATTACAAGGATTTTAACAATTAAGTTTCACCTCCTGCCTAACACCTGGTACATGGCTACTGCTGTTTGCAGAATAAAGGATTAGAGGGACTGATGCTCTGATTTGATGATAATACTTACGTTTCTGTTTTCTGTTAGAGCTGATGAGATTGCATTTTCCTACACAGTATTTTTCTCCAGTTTCTTTTTTTTTTTTTTTCTGAACTGAAAATAATCTGTGTAGCCCTAGGCTTTGGGGGTTTGTTTGGTTCTGTTTGGTTTTTTTGTTTTTGTTTCAAGTGCATGCAACTAATGTCTCCTTTTTGTTTCTGTCTTTAGGATGACAGCGATGGGATTCCCTGGTCAGAGGAGAGGGTGGTGCGGAAGGTCCTTTATTTATCTCTGAAGGAATTCAAGAATGCACAGAAGCGGCAGCACAGCGAGGGCATTAGCGGGAGCCTCAAGGCAGTGAATGGTGAGATTCCCAGCCTCTGTGGTGCTACTGGGAGGACTTCCCATCTTCTTTCCATGTGGTTCTTCTGCAGCAGGGAGGGATACACTGTGCAGAAGAACTCATTTCTGGGCTGCTTGAAATGCTCGGTTTGAACAATCCATGTGTTTTGGTTTCTGGCTGACTGATTTAGATGGGGATCAGGGTGGAGGGTAGGTGCCAGGCAGGAGGACAGGGGCAGGCTGCCGTTCAGGAGAGAAGCAGCCCATCTGTCTGCTTCCTGATGTGCTGAGTATGTCAGCAGAGAAGGTAAGCATTTAAAGGAGATTGGATTCAGTTCCCTCRGGGAAGTACACGTGGACAGAACTTACACACTGTCACTTAGATGGAAGAAACTGGCTCGCTAGCATCTGTCTCTGGAGTGATCCAAGTCCACAAGTGAAGTAGCACAGGATCTACATAAAGAGTTAAAGGGCTGAGAGGACACAAGTGCTGTGACATTGGTCTCCCCTGGTTTAGTAGTTCACGGTGCAGTTGTTTAAAGGTATTAAAAGGAGATGCAGACAAGCTTAGATGACAGGAGCCTGAAAGGAATCGAATTTTATTTCTTTAATGCTCTAGTCAGTTATTATCTCTTGCTTCCCCTTCCCTTAAAGCTGGCTTAAAAAAGCCGTGATGTCCTGAGAGGTGAATATATAGTGTGTCTCTTTCAGATTCACTTAGACCCTTACTTGAAAGGGCTTTGTCATGCTGGCTTGAGCCTTGAAAGTGATGACTAGCAGGATTCAGATTTCTGGGCAGGCTTACAGTTTTCACTCACAAGAACTTATTTGTTTCTTTATGGAGGTTTATGGCAGTTCCTTTCAGGCATGTGCATAACTATACACATGCTAATGCATTAAAGCAGCAGCTGGGTGCTTGCTTGGTAGGTTATTTATATGTAGCTTGTGTTGTTGACATGGTGAATCAGATTCCACTGAGTGTTAATGCTGACAAGACAAAAAACTGGGGGAATGGCTGGATAACTGCAGGCAGCATGATAAAGCCACTATTGCGTAAGCAATTGCAAACTCCTTAATGTGATTAAAGAAGACCTTAGACTTCCAAGTTCAGTAATAATATCAAATGCTGATCTAATGGGAAGGGGCATCTAGCTTTAAGACCAAGCAATTTATTAGCTTGGAGGTGTACACAAAACAGCGTTGGCTTTTTTCCCTCCAACACCTCTGCATCATTGATCTTCTGTCAAACACAATTTCTCTTGGAAAGTTTCTTATTCCATTGTGGAGGTTTTGTTTAGTCAAAGGAAAAAAGTCTAAAGGCGTGAAGCACAGTAATTGTGTGTTAGGAGGCTTTGATGATGTGCCAGGTTACGGGATGACTGAGGTTTTCATGGTGTCTAGTTTCTCCAAAGGCATCTTCGATAAAAAGTGATTTGGCTGGGAATGCTGTGTCAGTGCAGGTACCAGACGTGGAATATGCCACTGGCTTCCTCTGACAGCAATAGAACTCACATCTTCAGAGTTTTTCTGTCTCACAGAAGTAGATGACCAGTTATTTGGGGGTTGGGGTTTTTTTTAATTGCAATTAAAAATTGCAAAATTTTTAATTTTTTTTTAAGTTGCATTTTTTTTTTTCATTGCAGAATGATACTCCATTTTGCTAAATGATTTTTTTAGAAGTCCTTTGTTGGCACTGCTCTGTTTCAGCATCTCTGTCCAAAAGTATTTTCTTTTTAGCTATTGAAATTTGGAAGAATGCTTCATTACGCAGAGAAAAAGAGCAAAAAGGAGGAGGATTGATATTGTGCAGTGACATCAAGAAAATAAATTTAAATATGTAATTTTTTGCATTACATTAAAAAAAAAGTAGCCATGTGTTTTCAAATCCATGGGTCTCTATGGACTGAGAAAAAAGCAGGTCATCCTGAGAAATTACTGAGCTATTTTGAATTCAGGGGAAATGTAGTATTTTAATGATGAGTCTTAGATCCCAGATTTTGTACTATTGGGAATAAAAAATGTTCCTTGTATGTGTCSTTCATTCCAACTTTCAGGCCAAAACCATAATTTCTTGCACGTTACTCCAAAGGGTAGCATGCAGTTCAATATAGTTTTAAGTGAGTGGCCCATTTTTTATTCATTTATTCATGTAACTCTTGAAAATCAAATAGGTCACCTTTCAGTACCTGGCAATTTAATAATTTTCAAAAGTGGAAGGGAAAGGTCTGGGGCAGGGCGGGTTCAGGCTGTCTGAGTTCCCTGCTCTTTGCATGAGTATGGATTGATGTTGTGTCCTTCTGATAGCTGAGGGGACTGCAAACAACTGGGTAGCAGGATTTGTCTTGGTACTACCTTCTGTAATGCTGAGACATTTTCTCTGGTCTGGTTTTATAACAGTTGCTCTTTAAATTTATTTATTCATGGACTTACAGTCTGTAATTTATTTTAGTAGAATGCGTTTACGTGTAGCAGTAGAGGAAGGTAAAGAATGCACCTGCCCCCTGCAACTTGTGTCTTTAAGAAGTTTTAATGGATTTGCAGTGGTTGAAGTTTGATAAACATGCTACAAAAGTTCCTTTGCCAGTGCTTGTGAAATTGCAGCTAAACTTTTATGAAAGTGATTGTCAATGGTATTTCATCTGGTTAGTTCAGTAGTATCATTAATGATTTGGTAGCTGGAATAATGTCCCTCTCTGACTGATACTGTGAAAAGCAAATTAATTTTAAATGTGGAAGATGAACCCATTAACAGGAGTCTTTTCTGTATTAAAATTTCTGCAAGCACTGATGTGCCAGTGGTGGCACAGAGATGATTCAGTGCCTCTCTGAATAATAAAAATTAAAATTTAAAATAATAAAAAATCAAATTACTTTTGGTGATTTTATGTATTATAATACCTTAGCTGTCTCTGTCTCTCTATTACATGTACTTGTTATCATGAAATTGAGCCTGCCTGTGATACTTAAGTGGTTCCGATTAATGAAAAAGGCGAGTGGGTATATTTTGGCTTTTGTATCAGTGGTTATATTGCATGTGTGTTTCTGTTGACTCTTGATATTTGCAGAGTACAGGACAACACCCTATGCCTTTGTTTCCTACATATTCCTCTCCAGCACTTGGGAGCATAAAATTTGAAGGAGGTGCTTGTGCTAGWTGTCAAGAAACTCTCTGCAGCTCTAAAGGGGATACTGGAACTCTGATTATGGAAACAAGGTCATGCGCTGGAAAAACCCAGAGGGACCTCTTAGTGATTTTGATTACTRCTGCCTGTCATTTGTGTTAGGATTTTAAGAACAGGGATTGGTGTTCAGAATAGTGATACCAATTTTCAGAGATCCTCTTGTAAAAGGAGAACTAAAYCCTTTGGGAAATTGTTTTCTCCTTGTGTAGCTTAGAGTGTGAGATGCTTGCATTCTGTTGATGAGAGTAAATTTACTATCCTCAAAAGTGTATATCATAAAGCAAACGTTTATGGACGAAGATTTTAAGTTCAGTTTTTCAAAACTTGAAATAAAGAAGAAATCTGTGATGCAGAAATGCATTTCTTGAATGGAAAAAGGGACAGTTTCCTTATTTGTTTAAGATGGTTAGTTAATCTACAAAGATGACTAACCAGATGTTAGAATTATTGAGGCAGATAGTGTGCGTTTTCACCAGCTATACTTTGTCCTGGAAAGATGTCATTGCAGTTTCCAAACATGTGATCTGGGTTAAGTTTGCAGCAGCCATAACTAACCTATTTGGGAAATCAAATGTACGTGAGGGAATGCTGTGGTTCAAGGCAGAAGTTGGAAGTGTTGTTCATAAAGTAAATRAGGAGATGAGTAAAAGATGTAATCTTGCTATTCTGAAAGATTTCACCTTACATGTAGAGTAGTTAAAGGAAGTTATTTATTTTATGTGTATTCCTTAAATGGAATGGAAACCATGTCAACACTTGGATGGAGGTGATGGTTGGACCATAAAGTCTCTGTTGTCCCTTTTCCCCTTCACAGAATCACAGAATCATTTTGGTTGGCAAAGACTTCAGTCTTTGTTTAATCACTGCCTTATCAACCATAGCACAGTTAGACCATAGTACCATGTCCAGTCATTTCCTGAACATCTCCAGGGATGATGAGTCCATTACTTTGTTCTGATCTGCTTCTGCCCTCAGCCATTGCTGCACAAAACTTCATGTGACTTTTGTTGGAGACTTGTTTATTCCACAAATGGGAAGTCTCCACATGGAGAGGCAGGACCCTCTGAGACAGTTCTTGGTGGGACTGTGGTGCCCAGTGGCAGAACCCTCCTCTGATTCCTGAGTCTGCCCATCCCTCTTATTTCCACGCTGGCTGTTCAAGCCAGCTGGGGCAGGCAGCAGTGCAGTCTGAAAAYAGTTGTTTCTGTCATTGATGCATGCACTTTCAAATGTTTTCTGCTCCCTGCATGGGGGTTTCTGTCCATGCTTCCCAGTGGGCCATGCTGAAAGGAAGGTGGCACGGGACTGGCTTCATCTGACTTCAGCTTGTTGATGAAACCTCTTTTCCCTGGCCATGTAGATGGTACTCCACGCATGGCATGAAAATTGCAACAGATGTGGTAGAAATGCCTAAACACTGCTAAGCTGGGAGCCTCAGCTCAGTGCCATATATTATCTGCCAAAAGCCAACTAAGAGGGGATGGCAGCAGCTGCCAGCAGGACAACTATGTCTTCTCTTAGACCACATCTCTTCTCGCTCCTGCAGATGAAAACACAGCAGCCCTTGGGAAAGTGCTGTTGTTTCAGCTGTGCCTCTGTGTGTCACAGCAGTGTGGGTCCCCTTCCCTGATTGAGTCACTACTAAGCCTTCAATTCTGAACAAGAAAGCAGCCCTCTTCATTCCCTGTGATGGTTCAGATATACTGATAACTTCATCTCTCTTATTTCTGAAGGCTGCAATTAAATACTGCAAGAAGGTTTTATGCTAACGTTTGTCTAGGGAGCTTTTCACTCCATCAGTGATGTGAGATTGCATTTGTTGACAGTGGGTAATGTCTTG